TGCTAAAGCCTCTATTTTTCACTCTAGCCATTTTTGCCTTTATGATTTCAAATCTGGTCTCCCTTACAGCTCTCTGTGAAAAATGCTTTCCTAAAGGAGCCACTTAATGCACTTCCGGCCAGATTGAAACATTTTGTGCATGTCTTTATGCTTCAAAGTACAGTGCTATATTTACTACCACTGTACAGATTCCTCTGATACATTCTCCTCCCTTAGCTCACAGAATCCCTTTGTTTGCTCACTATTTTCTCTTATTTCTCTAACCACTCTGTCCTTTGCTTCATTGACTTCTGAATTTCTGTCCATGGCTGTGTAGTAAGGCTATATGCTTTTCTCCTTCTATAACTTGTTTTGTAATAGTTTTGCAAAAATAGTTTTACAATTTTTTTAACATTTAAATATAATTTTCATTGAAAATATATGACTATGCGAACTATTGAAAGATGAAGCTTCAAAGGTCAATATTATTTTAGCTTAATTCAAAGGAATATTGGAATGTTTAAGACTCTTCCAATGATGGACAACACAGAAAGTAAAAGGAGCACTGAACTGAAAATATTAAGATTCTCCTGATTCGACTTGACTGTGTATTCTTTATGTGGGAAATTATATTTGAGTAGAAAATGGACAAGAAATGCACTATAGAAAGGGGCCCTACTGTTAAAAAATTAAAATTCCAGTATTGTGCTGTTGAATTTTTAAAATTCCAGTCTCCAATAAATGACTATGACTTAGACCATACAGACATTTTTGTAGGGATTGCAAATTTATAAACAACTACGAATGACAGAATGAGATCTACGTGAAATTTTTTTTGGCTGCCAATACTTGTGGTTTCCAGGGACAGTTTGAATCTTTGCTGATAATGAGGCAATCAGCTATCCTATGAGTTCCACAGGAAGGCTAAAAAATCAGGCAAAAGGAATGATAGTTATCTTTTGTCTTAAATACAGGTTTTTATACAATGTCAACCAAATGGACTAGAAAATATAGGTGATTGATACACTCTCAATTTTACATTGTAGGAGGCTTTAGGTCGAGTTCTTTCATTCTCAGATAGAGTTGCTTTCCTATTAGTTGTTCTACTGCCTCTGTCACTGTGACTTTTTTAGAGGGAAAAAAGACGTTTCCATGAAAAGTATCTCTATTCATGTTTGAAGTAAATATGCAAGCTGGAGATTATCCACAATGGGGAGCACAGTTCTAAAAACTCTATAAATGAACTCCTGGGGTAAAACCATGTCAGGCATTTGGAAATCTTTCAACTTCCATTCTAGCAAGAAGTGTTCTGCTGTCACTGTGAAAAGATACTTTGATATTTTATTAGAAGTTAGTGGGTAAGCAAGATTTTTTTGACTGTCAATTGTTTAAGAATTAACAAGACTAAGGGCCAGCCCTGTGGCTCACTCAGGAGAGTGCAGCGCCGGCAGCGCCAAGGCCGCAGGTTTGGATCCTAGGTAGGGATGGCCAGTGTGCTTACTGGCTGAGCGTGGTGCAGATGACACCAAGCCGAGGATTGCGATCCCCTTACTGGTCAAAAAGAAAAAAAGAATTAACAAGACTAAGTGGTAAAGAATGCCTATTTTGCAGTACTTATATTTCCTACTAATTATTGAGTGAATGTGTATATTTTTTTTTTTAAAAAGCCATTTTTTCCTAAGGGGGAAAGGCTTATTTAGCTAGAAGAAAAATTAATATGTATATTAATGTATAAGAGGAAGAGATAAAGGTAAATTAAAATTACTGTTAGCTTCTTCCACAGAAAAAGAAGCCATGTTTATCTTAAGTTTAATTAATCACATGCGTTTAGTTTGCAGTTTTCCCAACAATGCTAGACAATGGGCATATTTTTCTTTTTTCACTTTGAGTAGATATTAAAATTCTACACTGCTATTTTCTGTGAAATATTAGTTGAACTGATGTGCCTATTAATAATTTCAAACCATGGAAAGGGATTTGAATAACTATATTCAGAGTCTTGAGTCCTTAAGAAACACAGGGAAGCCAATACTATCATATCTGAACGATTGGCATCACTTCTCTCCTCATCAAAATGTGATGGCAGATGTCATCTTAAAGAAATTCAGTTTATTATGTTTCCTGAAGGAATGCTTTTCTTTCAGTCAACACGTAACCTTAAAAAACACAGTCTTCCTTGGCCTTCCTGTATTTGCAACTGAAAAAAAAAAAGAAATCTGTATACAAGGGGTCTTCAAAAAGTTCATGGAAAGATTTGTATTATTTTTTTAAAAAAATTTTAATATTTACTTGTACATATTTGTGGGGTACATTGTGTTGTTTCAATACATGCATATACTTGCACAATGATTCACTTAGGGAAGATAGCATTTTAACTCCATTTTCCACAAATGTTTTGAAGTACCCTCATATTCAGGGTCTTTAAATCTATTGATAAGCAATACTTAGATTTGGGGGAAGAGGTAGTAAAGGTGGTGAGATGATTCCTAAGATAGGATAAGAATTTCTACCTAGGGCCATCTTGTCAACACGAGCTTGGAAACCAATGTCCCAGCCCTTTGTCTTCCTTCTGCATTGCATCAGTCTCTTCTCTCTGGGCCGGAATTCAGAATAATATTACAAATGATAAGAAAGTATGTGGTTTATTTAAAAAGTCAGTATAGTTTGCCTGTGTTCCCTTGTCTACTGCACTAAAATGTGTTCAAATTTAGACATTGCTTAGGAGGCTAGTGGTTATCATTGCCTGGCACTCATCTTCAAAGCCCGCACAAAGGAGCTAATTGAGATAATTTGATCAGTATTTGATTAGCATTTTCCAGACAATTGCTTAAATTTTCTGGGTGCTTTTGATGTAGAACAATGTGTGTATGTAACATGAATTGCTGAAATTCAGAATTTTAATATGAAACACTATTTATATACATTACCTTAGTTGACCAGATGGAATTTTGTTAACCCAGGGGGGAAAAATGTATTTTTTTTCTTTTTAGTCTATTTATAAATATATTTTAGGAAATGAGCTGTCTAGAGGCTAGAGTAGTTAGGAAGATTGTAGTATGCTCTCCAGTGCATCAGGTAGCCCATTAACTTACAAATTAGGCCAAACTAAATAAGCACTGTCACCTAAATCAACCTGGCAAAAACTATAATGTATCATGCAGGCTCTTAGATGGGAAGCTCGAGGGAGAGCTTCGCTTTGCCTTTGGATAGCTTTTCTGCTGGTTACTTTTTCAACTGTGGTTTAGAGGAGACCAGGATTTTTAGGCATTACTTATTTACATATTTAGATGAGCAATTTTTTGGATAGTGTCAATAGAAATTAAACACCAATCTTTGAACTGTCTCTCATTTCATCAAATTCAAATACTGTAGCATCTCCCAATTTGATAAAGCATACAAAGGCAGAATATAGAAGAAAAAATAATATAAATAATTTGTGCAGTAGATGAAGAAACAGATAAAGCAAAAATGGTCTTTTTTCCTAACTAAATCCCAAAATATTCAATTAGCATACATTTATTAAGAACCTATTACGTGAAAGATACTGTGCTAGACACTATGAGGGTCATGAAGATAAAATTGTCCCAGTTGGGGTTCTGGTGGAAATTTCATTCTCATAGATGTGCTTTCTCAACAGAAAGGAAACTTGATTTACTAGATAAATTTTCAAGTGTGTTATCTCAAGAAAGGGGAGTAATAGAAATAGG